AGCATCCACCATACACTTCCCTGGCTGGACCTCTACGGTTACCCTCTGGTCTCCCTTCACCCTGGTATGTACACCCCTCCTAACCCGTGCTACGTTAGAGCTCCCCACTACCAGTACCCTAGATCCCGCTGGTGCCTGCGCGCCTTTGTCCTGCGACTTATCTCCTGTCACCTGACTGCCCGACGCCTGCTGCTCGAAGGTGCCATTGAGCTGAGGTTCAATCAGCTCTCCAGCGTCGTCGAGCCCGCCTGCCAACAGGCCGGACTCCCGACCACCAGGGACCCCAGCCTGCAGACTGGTGGTTCGTCCCGCTAGAACTGACACTTCCTCCTTTCTTCCCTCGCTACTCTCACTCGCTCGAATTACCCCTTCCAGGCGCTCTACCCTACTGTCACACTCCCTCTTACGCTCCTCTAAACCCGCCTTCCATACTTCCCCCAGCTCTTCCGCCTGCTTCTTGAGGCCGACCCGCTGCTCCCTCTCATGATTAAGCTGCCTAGTCAGCTCCTCTACCTGGGTCGTAAATCGTCGACGCGCCACCAAGTGGCAACGCTCGTAACCACAACATTCACGCCGTAGCCTTTCCCGACTGGCACAAGTGACGTCACGAATGCGCCCAATATCCCAAGACGCATCGCGCTCTCCGATGGCCGATTTTTGAGCGCGCGCCCAATCGGGCCCATTAGGGTGAAAAATATAGCCATCCGTTCAAAATACAAACGCGCGATTATGATTTATGAATATCATTGATCATATTGAACCTATTTCTGACCATAATAGGTGTATTTCAAGTTTCGCTTCAGTATCCCTTTAAATTGAGTCATTATTAAAGGCTAACATAATTTCGACAATAGACCGATCTCAGCAGCCAGTTTGACTACGCCACCGCTGCCGCAATGCATCGAGGGAACTTTAGTCTTTCTGCGCGTGCGACAACCTGGCTGGAGCTCTGTGCGTGCAGGGCACGAACAGTCTCATGCACTGCCGATTGCCTCTTGTGAACTAAAGTTATGGCTGCCTCGCGTATGCGTCGAATGCTTGGTGAGATCGGTCTATTGGCGAAAAGGCAACGAGGTTCGCGAAATTCATCTTTAAAAGTTTGCCTTTCTTCGCATGATTCAGAAACCGTGTGATGACAATGATACGCAGAATAGTGACGTAGCCGTCTTGAGGTGGGCTTGGTATTGGCGACGTGAGCGATCGAAAGCGTCGCTGTGGTCGGCCCACCACAATTGGCCGAATGCTGACTATGACGTTAGCAAAGGATGTCTCATCGACGGAAATAAGAGGAATGTAAAAACTTCAATTTTGACGGTGTTGGCAGTGTTGCTTTGAGAGCGCTATCATTTCAGGCTTCTGCCATGCCCATTACAAACACCATCGAACTTGTTGCTCACAAGGTAATGACGTCACGAAAGGTAACTTTACACACTGGTATATTTCAGCGTTTGTACGGCAACAGAGCGACTTAAAACCTCCAAATAAAGCACGGTTTGTCAATTACTTCCTTCATGAAACAGCAGACGCTCACAATTCAAGCTCGCGTTTGATTTCGTTGTCCGCGGGACGTGATTTCTATCAGAAAATCTACTTTTTTTTTTTCCTTTCGGTCCCGCGACATATCGTATAGCAGACGAACCCTCGTCGTCTGCTCCCGCTGCTCGCCGGCCTCGTTAGAGCGAGTGCTTTGATGGGCTAGTTGGTTCATGACTAAATTTTTTTTGTGACTTTTCCCTCATCTTTTAGTTATTTTCAATGCAAGTATTTTGTTTTAATCCTTATTTTCAGTTTATTTCTTCTTCTTCCTTCGCCTCTTATTTCTTCTTCTTCCTTCGCTTCTCATTAAACAGTCAGTTGTAAGTCAGCGCTCGTGTTGTCCTGTTCTTTCTGTCCTATGTTCCGCGCTGTTCCATTTAGTCGTTAGAGCGAGGCATGGCGGGATTGCATTTTAGCGCACTCTCGATTTTCTAGGTGCAGCGAGTGCATGCACGCGTGGGGTGTCAGCGATGAAACGAACTCGGAGGGTGCAACCACTCGTGGAGTGCCCGCCGAAACGAACCCGCTCCACGCTGCGGGTGGGCACGCGTGGGCACGAGTGCCGTGAAACGAACTTCGTTCAGTGCAAATTAAAGGGATACTTCAACGGAATTTGAAATATTCCCGTCGTGTTCAAAAATAGGTTGAATATGATCCACAATATCCGTAAATGACAATCGCACGTTTGTATTTTGAGCCTGGTGGCTGTATTTTTCGTTATAAACGGCCCACCCTGGCAAGCGCTCGGAGAAGGCCCAGCGGAGACCACGTGACATCCAACGCAATCGTGACGTAGGTCGTCTCAGGACGAGCAAAGCTACGGCGAGGCTGACGTCGAGAGGATGGCTTAGTCGTTCCAGCCACCGAAGCGGTTGCTTTTGTACGAATTTTGAGTGACCGGTTAATCTTCTGTAATCTTGTAGGGGGACAATAGCGACTTCAGCGACACACAAAAGGCATTCTGGGGAAGAGGAGAGTTTCTCCTGTTCCTCTTCTCTCGTCGTGGCCGGAGGCGAGACAACCTCCGTCACTAGCTGTCAAGGTTCCTAGACGGGCATTACAAGCGAGGCGTTAGCGACATCCACCAGGTGTTCTTTGCTAATCGTTTAATTCGTTTTAAAATATTCCTTTTCGTGACTTTTTTAACAAGATATTGGTATGATCGATGTGATGCTGTTCCTTTGAACACATATAGACATTAAAATAACCGCCGAAATTTTGTTGTAGTATCCCTTTATAAAGATAGGGAAACGAAATTTCAGCGCTCATTTTTTAGTTTTAAAGGGGTAGGGAAACGAAATTTCAGCGCTCATTTTTTAGCTTTAATGTGTTGCATGTTGCACCCTAACCTCAAAAACACCAGTCTTCCGTTGAAAAGCACAAGAAAACTAATTTTAAAGCTAAATAAACGATCTTTCAATGTGCACCTGGTGGATGCATGCGGAGCCTATTTGGGAGGTAGTCTAGCAACGTTGTGGAATCTGCTACATAGTCGTGACGTGGCAGATTCCTTCGGAACAGCGCCGCCTTTTGGAATTTCAACATTTTCCTTTTTAGCTTTCCTCCTAGCTCAACTCACAAATCGCGCATTGGACCAAACGGTCCAAGAAGACGGAAAGGAAGGACTCCCCTCTTTCTCGGACCCTCGTTCGTGCAACCGGAAACAGCCATTCTCCCCCTAGAAGATTAGCCCGTCGCTCAAAACTCGAACAAAAGTTGCTTTTCCCACCCCGTTCAGCCCTAAGCTGACAGTGTTGTGGAAGCTACGTGCTCCTTGGGCCAGCCACACGCTCGTCACCCCACGGGTACTTCGAGCGGCTCGGTTGTAACGCGCTGACCACACAACGCTGACAACGCCACCAAGGGCAAAGCTCGTAACCACGCTTGCCTTGCTACTCCACGAACACGGGAAATCTTTTCTTTCTGTTTTTGTCCGCGCCGGATATCCCATGGCGCATCGCGCTCTCCGCTCGCTTCTCTTCGAGCGCTTGCTCGAGTGCACCGTTTGGAACGAAAAATATAGCCAGTCGTTAAAAAAAAAACGTGCGATTATCATTTACGGTTATTATCCGTCGTGCTTGACTCATTTCCGAACGAAATTTGAATATTTCAATTTTTGTTTCCGTACCCCTTTGATTACCTACTTCTTTCTCCTTTTAATCCTCAACTCAAATGCGAATTGTGAAATCACGTGGTCGTGACATTCCTTCGGCACCGGTGCGGGGACTCCTAGCTTCCACCGTGCTTTTTATGCACACCATAGAACTTGTCATTCCCCAGTGACAATAGGTTCCGTCAGGGCACTCATTGGCCACGAACGCGAATCCAAATATTCGTCGACGAATTGATTGTTGACGAGCGCATACGTCCGAGTGACGCAGTTCTCGTGTCCAATCCGTGAGCTGGGCTCTGCGGACGTCAGTTTGGCGCCGGTGACGCGCTTTTGGAACCGCGGATGTATCATAGTGAAAAGGCGGAGACCTTTCGAAGGCAAGAAGGTACAAAATAGTCCGCTATATTTTCAAATGTTCGTACCGAAAAGCTGGCTTTTGACTTTCTAGCCTCTTTCTTTTGGCTAACTCAACGATATCCGATTAAAAAAGTCCCGATTTAAAATCATTCATTCCAACCCAAAATTCGTTTCATGGCTCCTTTAAAGGACACATGCAAAAGAAAAAAACATTTTTTTTTAAACAGTTTAGATGGAAAAATGATATCACAAAACAATTTTACAACCAAGCAAAAAAAATTTAGAGCTATATTTACGGCGCTATACGAATTTGTAGTTGGCGCCGGCGGGCGCCGCGGAAAAGTGGCCCTTGACGGGCCCATATTTGTCACGTGGTGCTTGCGCTCTTTCGGAAGCTTCCTATGGCCTCTAAAAGTAACTTATTCATCTTTGTTTGAAGTATAACAAGAAACTAAGATGAATAAGTAACTTTTAGAGCCCAAAGGAAACTCCTGAAAAAGCGCAAGCAGACGTGGACCTGTGCGCCGGTCAGACGACGGCGGCGGCGCCCCGAAGCAGACGAACTTGTGCGGCGGCGGCGACGGCGGCGTGGAGAAACGCGTTGAAGCGGCGTTCGCACAACGCTCAGCGTGCGGCGGCGCGCGGGCCTACCACGTGACCAGCGGCGGCTCCCGCGAGCGCCAACTACAAAATCGTATAGCGCCGTAAATATCGCTCTAAAAATTTTTTTTCTTGGTTGTAAAATCGTTTTATGACATCCTTTTTTCATCTAAACTGTCATAAAAAAATGTTTTTTTTCCTTTGCATGTGTCCTTCAAGAGGCGGCCTCTTCGGACAAGTCAGTAGCACATTTTGACAATATCCCGCACTGCTGGCAATAATTACTACAAAAATGCAGAGTCGAACGAAATTTGCTTTAAACGATTAAATTAGGTAATCTTGCGTTGGTGTTGCTGTTGTTTCTTAGCTTTTATGCTAGATGGCGCAAGCTATCGCCCTTTTTAAGGCTACAGCCGTTAACATCGATCCATACGTCCGTCCGCTCGTCTGCACCAATGAGGACTCTCCACGAATCTGGGAATCCTCTGGAATCGACGCCGGCTAGGAGTCAGGAGGAGCAGGCGAGGAGCGGCGTACTTTAGATCAACTTCGGCACTTATTTGTTCACCTCAGGAGGTCCACGTCCAGCAATCCGCATACTGCGGAGCACCGGTCAGGTAAGCAACGCACTCGAGAGTTCACGGCGAGCACCCCGGAGCCTGGACGGGCCGTCGATTCGGGCAGCGCGCCAGGCGCTGCGCCCCGTGCGGCTCAATTGCCGCAATTACGGCCGCCCGATTGCTCGGACTCAGACGCAGGAAGTGGTCGCTGCCCGGTCGGCGGCCTCTAGACCTTCGAGAACGACCCGGCGGACCACTGCATGCGCCGCGTGTTTGCGTGTTTTGCAGGAGATGCATTTCTGCCTTGTGCTACTCCTGTTGGTCCCTGGAGCTCTCTGCGAAGGAGAGGAAGAGAAGGTGCGTGATGGTCTGCGGTAGTCGCGAAGCCGCGCAGTGCCCAATCCCATTTTGGAACCACGGGCAGGCTTCCCGCACATCAGGCAGGAAGGCAGGCGAAGCCCGTCGTCGACGGCGAGTTAGAAAGTGACCCCTGCGCCGGCATTTCGGGCTCACGCAGGTTTCCAAGGTGGAGCCGGCTGAGGACGTTGTCTACAATGTCCCCAAGCCCGTGGGATTCGCCCACATCGCGGAGCACTTCGACGACTTGGACGCCTTCAAGGAACGGTGAGTGCGCAAGTCAGCGATGCCAGTCTCCGAGGGTGATCGAGCGGCTGTGTCTTCCCGCAGATGGGTCCTTTCGGAGGCGACCAAGGACGGCGCAGAGTCGAGCGTCGCCAAGTACGATGGCAAGTGGCAAGTGGAGGCCGCCGCCCGGAACCACCTGCGTGGAGACCTGGGCCTGGTGCTCAAGGTAAGAGTCACGCGAGTACCCGGGTGCGGCACTGCCTAAGCGTGCTTTCGGCTCAGTGTTTCCAACATGGCGGTTTTTCCGCTAAATTTAGCGGTTATCTGCGTCAATCTTGCCTCGCGCCTGAAATTCAATGGCTTTTCGAGATTCCTATGGCTGGCTTCTGATATATGAGCCGGCAACACTGGTTCGGTTGCAGACCAAGGCGCGCCACCATGCCATTGCTGCTAAGCTGGACCGGCCCTACCTGTTTGAGCACAAGCCTTTCGTGCTGCAGTAAGTGGGCGAGGGGTGGGGCTAGGGGTTAAGGCAGGCCGGAGCGACCACCGTGGCACTTCCCGCAGGTACGAGGTGCAGTTCCAGGAGGGCCAGGACTGCGGTGGCGCCTACATTAAGCTCTTGTCCGACCTGGAGGAGAACAGGGACCTGCGGCAGTTTCACGACAAGTCCCCTTACACCATCATGTTCGGGCCGGACAAGTGCGGCACGGACCATAAGCTGCACCTCATCTTCCGGCACCGGAACCCCCGCAACGGCAGCTACGAGGAGAAGCACTGGAAGAAGTCCGGCGGCATCACCAAGTTCGACGAGGTGTTCAAGGACAAGAGGCCGCACCTCTTCACTCTGGTGCTGACCCCAGACAACCAATTCGAGGTCCTGGTGGACCAGCGCAGCGAGGCCAAGGGCAGCCTCCTCGAGGACTTCGAGCCAGCCGTCAACCCGCCGGCCGAGGTGGAGGACCCCACGGACGTCCGGCCCGCAGACTGGGACGAGCGGGAGAAGGTACCGGATGTGACCGCCACCAAGCCCGAGGACTGGGACGAAGAGGCACCGAGGCAGATCCCGGACCCGGACGCCACCAAGCCCGTGGGCTGGCTGGACGACGAGCCCGCGCTTGTCCCCGACGCTGCGGCCGAGCGCCCCAAAGACTGGGACGACGACATGGATGGCGAGTGGGAGCCACCCCTTGTCAGTGAGTTGCACTATCATTCTACTTGCATTGGTTTTTCTACATTGCCTGGTACGTGTCTCCCAGATTAACCGAATAGCAAAGCCAGAGTATCGCCTTCCTTTTCCTGCCTCGTTGGCAGAGAAGGTATCACATGCGCCAGATTTTACTTTAGCACTTGCAGAGAAGTGGACTTGTGGAGACACACTTTTTTGCTCTGCATTTGCGAAAGGTAGATTTTACGCTGAAAATTAACGAGCAAGTAAGGTCTTCAACCTTTGAACATTGTGCGTGTCAATTGGACATTAGCGTGCAATTGCATTTTTTTGTTATAACTCTAGCGCTGTTTTAAATCGGTTGAGTTCAAGCAGACAACGCAATTACCCACAATACAGTGCATGCACGCGTGTGCTACTGAGGCTCGTGTCGTCGCACCCGTTGTCTCCAAACGTTTCTTCCTAGTAGAGCATATACGGTTACTCTGTTGTCTCAGACTGCTGTATCCATTGCGCCCTCGAATGTTTTACCTCGATTTCGGCCCGATGGCATCACACTCGCATTACGCTCTAGGCAACTATCCCGGCAGTGGTGCAACAGTGCAGGTGCACACGGCAAACGCCTGTTTTGCCGTCAGTCGCTCTCCATGGAAGTTTTGAGAGTTGGGACGCTGCAACAACTGCGACACTTCTACTCGCTCTTGCCTTTTTGCTGCAACTGCTGCCCGACCACCTTGCGACATTTGGGGAGCATGACTTACCGACTCCCGCAACGCAATTTGTTGCCACTGTTTGTACCGTCATTAATGCGTGGGCAACGTAGGGCGCCAAGCAGACCGGTCGCATACGCTCTCCGGGCATCGTCGCCGCACAACCGCTCGTCGCGGCATTCGCGTGACGGCTTTGTACGTCTTGCAGACAACCCCAAGTGCGCCGCCGTGGGCTGCGGGGAGTGGAAGCCCCCCCTGGTGGACAACCCGCGCTATAAGGGCAAGTGGAGGGCGCCCCTGGTGGACAACCCCAACTACAAGGGCAAGTGGCGTCCCCGCAAGATCCCCAACCCACACTTTTACGAGGACAGCCACCCGTTCCGCATGACCCCGGTCTCTGCGGTGGGCTTTGAGCTGTGGTCCATGTCGGAGGGCATCCTCTTTGACAACGTGCTCATCACGGACGACCCCGTGGTGGCCGACCAGTGGGCTGCCGACACCTGGCTGCTCAAAAAGGAGGCGGGAGACCGGGAGACGGTGAGTTTCGCACGCAATTTGACCGCCTCGAGGCCTGCCCACACACACAGCGCGGATCTAACTCTGTGCCACAGGCACTGTTCTAGGTTTAAAGATACTGCCTGAATTAAGATAAAAATGCAAGAAAGAAAAAAAACTAAGTTTGTGTGCAGTGAAACTGTATCCAAATTCTTGTGCATGTGGCCAAAACATTCACCCCCGGGCCGGCTTACTAGAACAGCGTCTCGGCCGTGACCGGGTGAAAGAAAGCATCGCTAAGGCTGGGGCGCGCAAGCGTTTTGAGAAGTCTTTTGAGTCCCGCTCAGCTCGTGCACTGGCTTTGGCAGTCCTTTCTTTCCTCCAGTCTGGGCTGAGGCGCCGTTTCTATAAAGCCGGCAAAGATGTATATTTTGCTTTCTATCGTATTGAATGCTTAAAATTCACTCTGTATCGGCCCTTCTAAGCTAACAGTATCATTAAAAAAAAAAAAAATGAAAGCCGTTTACAACTCCCTGTAACCCCGAATTAGAGTGCAGCTCTTGAGGAGGAGGAGGGGAAGGTATGGAGAGGAGGCTATGCCCCTCCTCCTCTCCTGCTCGCCTCCCATTTAGGGAAAATTTTTTCCGCTAGATTTAGCGGGGAAATTTTTCTGCTAGATTTAGCGGGGAAATTTGTCTGCTAGGTTCAGCGGGGAAATTTTTTCGCTAGATTTAGCGGGGAAATTTTTTCGCTAGATTTAGCGGGGAAATTTACCCATAATACACCGCGCGGTTACGCCGACGCCACTCAAGCCGGAAACTGGCGCCTAACAGCTGCGCTCTAAAAGGCACTGAAACGATTAAGTCAGACGAGTGAGGGACTTTGCTTGCCAACTTTTCAACTTTGTATGGATGTTTTATGCCTGGTCTGGCCAATATGCTTAAACGACTCGGAGCCATTATGGTACATTGCTCCTGGACATCAATGTTTGCAGTTGTAAACCCATTAAGTTGTACAAAAGCTACAGGCTCGTAGTGGCTATTCTCGAAGATTCCTCTCAATCATATCATGACGAAGAGGACTTCATTTGCACGAATGAGTGTGCTTTTATATTGGCTTGCACATCATTTTTTGGGAGAGCTTGCTCTCAGTGTAGTTTTGTTTCGAAAAGTGGGGATAGAGTTTATAATTATGCCTAGTAATTCTGCAAATAAAAAAAAAAAATAGGACTGAAAAATAAAATGTGCAATAGATGGACGGATTATTGTTTTACAGTAAACTTTCGTTTGTTCGGCCTCGGTTAATTCTACTTTTCGTTTAATTCGATCCTGTTCAAAAGTCCCGGCGAGCGCCCATACATTTCTATGGGAGGAAATGTTTGATGGCTTAACTCGCGAAGGCTCCGCATCGGATAACTCGTCCCGAGCGAATGCGCGCAAGCTCACATTGCAGGGCACTACGGCAGAAAAAGCACCAAGGTACGGCGAAACACGGGCCCTTTGCTGCTAAGCCGAACCTGTGCAAATATGCGCCTGCTCCTCTACGCCATTGAGATGGACCGTAGCAAATGACACAAGCCAGCGCAACCAACATAGCACGTGGTCGGGCGCGGAGACAGCACGCGCTCTCAAAGCGCTTTTCTGTAACATTTTGCGCGTCAAAATTTTTTTTTTTTTTTTTTGTTGACGGTTTGGTTTTTTGGCGCCAAAGTTGGCTCGTAAAACTTACCTTTTTCGTTTTTTCTTTTTTGTACGAGATTTTTTGGGGACGCGACATTTAGTTACGTTGCTTTCTGGAGCATGCTTTTAGACACGCTTTTTAAGCGCAGATGGCAGCAGACCATCCGTGATTACTTTGGACAATAAAAGGAAGTTTAATTTTAACTGTTTTTCTGTCCTTTTTTTTACTTCAATCATTCGGATAATTCAACCAAATTTCAAGGTCCCGTCGAGGTCGAACTAATGAAAGTTTATTGTACAACGGTGCCTGGAGCATGTCTCTGACTGGTGTGTTTAGCGTCCTGCGTTACCCATACATCAAAAGTGGTCCCGAAGTGGCAACAAATGACGTCGCAGAAGCCGGAGCGTCGTATTGTTGGATGTGGCAATCCTGGCAGTTGGTGCTCGAAGTCCCAGAAAGAAAGTACAAGCGAATGAGTGTTGCTCTCATCGCAAGGTCCCAACTCGTGGCCACTAAAATTTCCGTGGAGTGTCAACCTGGACAGCGGCCTGCAGCACAGCAGGCGTCTGTCACAACCCCACCCCGCAGCCGAGATACTGCCACAATCGTGGTTGGCGTCAACACTACACTGGAACGACATCGTCGGGCTGGACCACTTTTTAGGACGCGGTGAACACGCCTGTCGAAGCTGCGTCTCGTGCATCGGGGTATTGCTTCGAAAATAAGCTTGGTCCATCACTAGTTCAAACTGTTGACACAACAGGTGTTGATCGTCACCGACCTTCAGATCTAAAATGAAATGTTGAGTTGCGTGTTCCCTCGAGGTTGGGGAATCTGATACCCGCATCATTCTTTCTTCAACAAATTCCTCGATAAACACCCTTTTGGTCCCACGCCAACAATCGTCGCGAAACCTGCAGGAAAGAAAACGAACCCCCAAGAAATGCCCCGGAATACGTAGAAAAAGAAACTCAGAAAATGTGAAACCCTAGCTGGAACTACAGTGACTGGAACGAGTCTCCGATTAGTGCGTTTAGCGTCCTTTTCCACCGGAACTGGCGTCTGCTGCGTCCGGGACCGCAAACGGCGTTGACGCGGCGCTTCCGTGGCGTCGTTGGGCGGAAATTGAGACACCACTCTTTAGGATGCGTGAATGCGACGGTCGGAGACGCGTTGCAGGTACCATACTACCGAGTTGGATTGAGAAAATAAATCTGTTTTTCGACCCGCATAAATTAACTTGTCGCGGAGAGCTGAAATTTCGTGAGAATATGACGCCAGTGGTGGTGGCAACGTTGCCGAGTTTTGAGCATGCGACTTCCAAAGAAGGACAAGACTTCTCCGAGCAGACGTCCACCTAAGTCATTGAACCAGAAATTGAGCTTGTGGGACCCTATAACATTAATTCCAGTAAAAAAAATCTTGTTAGCAGGAAATCAAACAAGTATCGTCCTTCCTGCTGACATGTTGTTTACTGAAGTAAAGGGTACAGGACAATCTAAAATTTTGATGTTAGACTTAAGTTCATAGAAAAAGTTTTTTTTTTTTTTATTTTAATTTTTTAAAGCAGGTAATGTCATGCACTCAAACTTCAGCATTTGATCACCGCTAGCGTCACATTCCCGCAAAATTCCAGCTTTTTGCAATGCCGAGTTTACCTTTGTAACCAGAAAAACCGGGTTTCATTTTCTCGATCCAACCCGGCATAACCAAAGTGCCCGAAACGAAGCAAGAGTTGTCGAAAAAAGCGGGACCTGCGTATGCGAAGGTGGATTGCGTAAACAGGGGGGCCTGTCCGGCTGGCAACGCCTGGGCTGGCTCCTGTACCTGGTGTACGGGGCACTGCCCGTGGGATTCTACTTCCGCCACGTCTGGGCCACCGTGGCCGCTGAGGTAGCCCCCAGGGGGCATCGTGTGGTAGCGCTGCGATCGCTTTGTAGCCACGCTTGCGGCTGTAGCCTCGCCTCGCCTCCTTAGGACGGCCTGCTGACGCGCCTGCTCAAGTACACAAACAAGTACCCCTGGCTGTGGGCCGTGTACGTGGTTGCCCTGGGACTACCCCTGGTGCTCATTGTGGGCTTCTGCTGCTCTTCCTCCCAGGTGAGGCGCTTGGCGCAGTGCCTTTTGTAGGCCCACATGCAGATTTGTGTTTGAGCGCGACGCGTTTGGTTGCAGCAGGCGGATCCTGAGCGTTGTGGAGGGAGCTTGCATATAGCTTGTGCTCACACTTCCTCTGAAATGCAGACGACAGTAGTCGAGAGCCAATGCGGAGCACATGATCGTCCGCATATTTTGCAGGGGTTGTGGGGTGGCGTCAAAACGCCAAGCTCTGAGTGGCTCTGATTGAAGGATAGTGGATAGATCTCGAAGCAAGCTGCCTCGAGGTCTACCCACTATTCTTCAATCGGAGCTCAGCATTCTGTCGCCACCACAACCCCTCCAAAAGAAGCGGACAAACTTACACATTGCATAGGAATGCGCCATCGTCTTTTGTGGCTCGCCAGTATTAAAGGAACTGCGCAACGATTTAACGTTGAAAGAATTGGCATCTTCTGCTTTCGATATTGTTCACCTTGTCACAAATAACAGGAAACACACCTCCTTTCATCGAAATGTTGCGATTCCGCCGCGTAATAGCGAGGCATATTCCCTGATCTGCATTCGCGAGCGGCGGCCATCAGAAACACGAGGCGTGACGTCAATGGGGAATCTTGTAGAAAAATAGCAAGTTGTGCGAATACCTCCTCGATAAAAGGTAACTTTTCTATCAATTTTGTCGTTCCAACATATATATAAATGTTTCAAAAACCTGGGATCATCGACAAAACTTTTATTATACGGAGTTTTAGTGGCGTCATCTATCCTAGGTCCACAAAACCGTCAGCTCTCTCTGCTACCGCGAACATTCGCCAGAAGCCAAACGGGGAGGGGGACAGGGCCGGACAGGTATGGCCGGACCCGGATGAGACTTTCCTCCTTTCACCATATCGTTCGCGCGGCGCCCGCCAGCACGTGGTCACGCGGTCGCGAGCGGATGAGTTCTCGCTGCTTACTGGTGGCTCTAAAGAGAGAACTTTTCCGGAACCCCGCGCCTTCCCCATCGACGTCACTGCGCACGTGACCCGGAAGACGACTTACGAGTTGAGAGGCGGCTAAAACCTGGGTCTTTTTCTTTTTTAAAATAAAAACTAGGGTATCCAGGCAAAATCTGTTTTCTGTAGTTCACTGCAGAAGTGTCAGGCATCAACTTCCATAATAATTTAAGCAACACCCTGAAATTGTTGCACAGCTCCTTTAAGTGAGACCCGCAGTAACATGGCGTTGACCGACCTTGAGACGACCTTGCTAGCTCTGCAACCTGTCCAACTTGAACCAGTGCAGGGTGAGCACCGGCTCTTGGTCTTTAAACTCTTGGTAAGCGCAGCTGCGTTAGAAACTGGAGCCCTATTAAACTTTCTTGCGTTGCGCTGCGCAACGTGCGTTTTACCGCATGCAGTTCCTTCCTGCTGCAAGAACGCCACTCCGCACTCAAATGCAAGTGTGAACCGCAAACTCAGTAATTGCCAAAACTACTTTCTTGGTAGCTTTGTCACGCTGGAACTTAGTTCTCTAGAGTTTCTTACAGGTGTACATGCACTATAGTCTGTCCCACTGCCTTCTGCACAGTTCTGCAAATGTGAAATGCACACTTCACCAACTGCCAAAGCCACAGTGCTCACATAAAGCGAGAAAGAACCGGAGCAACGTGATAGTGATGTCTACAGTTTACATTGAGTGGCATCTTGTCACAACTACTGTCTGCCATTTCTAGAATAATAAAATCTTTGAGCCTCCATCAGGTCCTTGGTGCATGTTAACACCAATAGGTCAAGTTTACTTTGAATTGCTATGGCAGAAAGAACACTAACGGTCTTGGTGGTGTTGCAAAATTAAACCATGAACTCTTACCTAACTTGGAACTCGGTGCACAACTATTAATGAAAATGAATCCTTAACAGTTCAAGGAATGGTCCAATACGTCTCTCCCGATGTGATGAGCATAAGAACTCTTATCACATCAACATCGTTGGAGTCGGGTAGCCCTCAAAGGGAGTTAATTTAATTGCTTCCCAAAAGTAATGAGCAACTGTAATTAACTTCTTTTCGTGCACTAGTAATAGTTCTAATTGTAATTACCTATTTTTTGAGCAAAGCAGCTGCCATTGTGCCTACATTACGTTTCCAAAGTGGCTTACCCAAGTATGCAGCACACATGCCCATGTTGGTCCATTCCACATGGCGCTCGAGAAACTTTGCCCCTTCTTCGTTGCTCGAATACCCTTTCTCGCTTATTGCGCACGATACCCTGCATTCCAAATGCATTGTAGCCTGTTTCTCACTCAAATTCAACACTTCAGTTTGTGCAGGTGAAATACAAAATCTTGCCCAAATTTTCCCGCCGCTTTTGGTCTCCTTAAGGGTTGGCAGGCAAGGGGGGCGCACGCTCCCTGCTTGTGCCCGTGTCACCCTAGGCCCTGCTTTGCAGCCAGCCAATGCCTCCTAGGTTTTGAGTGTCCTTCTCCGGATGCCAGTGTCGGGCGCCGCCAGTGTCGGGCGCCGATTGGGCACCGTGTTGGCATTCAGCTGAGACTCGTGTTGAGGACAGAGTCCCAGCCAACTGGTGACACAGCGCCAGAGTCCAATCTGCGTCCCACAATGGACTTCGGTTGGCAACGTAGAAAACCCGACACTATGGCCTAGTTATCTGTAGTCCTTGTTGGGATGAGGGTGGCAGGGCGTTTCTTCCAGTCTGCCAACCTCCAGCACGCGAGACGTCCAAGTGTTAGAGAAGGTATACTTCGTTTCACCTTCTAGACAAGGCCGACGCTACGACCTAATGGGACCAATAGGACTGCACCAAAAGCGTACCATCATAATGTTTGTCCTTGCTGAACCGATTGTAAACGGAAAAGGCCTAGTGGGTCGCGCTTTTGACTCCGCTAGGTCGGTCCCATTGGACCGACCGAGCGGCTGTGTCCGGACTCGAGCTGAAACGGAGTGTAGGAGCTTGCGCTGGAGGCGGGGCGACGGAAAGACGTCCCTGCCGGTCTCGTTCTGTCTGCGGCTATACGTAGCTTGCACGTGACGTCGGCTCTTCTCTCTTTCCGGTGGCCAGAAAGGCCTCGCTAATGCGGCGGAAGCTGCGTTGTTCCGCGCCCTTCCCCCCATTACGTCTGGCCGAGTGACGTCCGTGCAAGCCACGTATAGAAGTTGTAGAGGGGGCGTCTCGAAAACGGGTGTGCTGCACGGTCTGCTGCACCGCCTCCGGCGGCTCCCCGCAGGACAAGAAGGCCCAGCACAAGAAGAGCGACGACGTGCCCGCCGAGGAGGAGGAGGAGCCTCGGGAGGAGGCCCCCGCCCCCATCGAGGAGGAGGAGGAAGAGGAGGAGGGTGCCGGAGGAGAAGCCAGCGCCTCCAACGAGGAAGGCAGCGGCGACGGGGTGAGTGGCGCTCGGATTTACGCTCCCGTAGGATGCCCCTTGTGCCACCAGCTTGGAGTCTTTAGTGGCATGTGGAGGGTGTCCCTGGTGCCATTGAGAATGCAGACACGCGCACGACTGACACTACGCACGAGGCCGTGCTTCGTGGTCCAGCTTCTGTGTTTGTCGAGATACTAGAGAGCACCTTTGGCAATGGCGCCGGTCCGATCTTGAATACTGTACCAACTTCTTCCTGGTACCGAGGCAAGAGTGCAACAATCACCGTGTCTTTCTTTCTTGTCGTACCGATCCGTTTAATAATATGACGACCTGTCCTCGCGCTAGCCAATTTTTGAGCGCTGATGGCATAAACCTATTTGATTTACCCCAGTCCCCGGCCCAATAGTTTCCATATCCGGTGTGTGGGACAACGAGTAAAAAAAAATGGAGCAGATGCAAAACAAGAATGTATGATAGTTGTAGTTCAAATGTGAACATCTTCTGGTGGTATGGCAAGAGCAAAACAATGCTTTTACAACAAACAAGGACTTGTGCCAGTCATGACGGCGACAGCCAGATAGAAAGTAAACACCAGTGTTGCGGAGTTGCGGTGCTAAGTAAAGTAAATCTAAAAAGTACCAAATAAATTAGAGGTTGTGTACTTCAAGTAAAGTAGTAAGTACACTGGGTACAATGTGCCTGAAGTAGTAATTTTTCATGATGCCCTTTCATTCCACTAAGTGATTTTTTAACTGGTACACATTGCCCCAGGCGTAATCGGAAGTGCTTCACTTATTTTCAGAAATATAACCAAATTCAGAAGTTCTCAGACTTCTGAATTTGGCACTACTTTCAATGGCTTGTTGTACCCAAGAGTGTTGCACTAGGAGAGAGCATGACGTCAGCTTCGTAGCTTCCGCACGCAATCCTCTTGTGGAACAATGCCCTCTCCTTAACAAAAAAAAAAAAAAAACAGTGACTGTGCAGGCTACCTGATGATAGTTAATCATAATTTGACATCCAAGACTGTGGTGCGAAAAAAATTAAGGAACTTCCAAGTTAAGAAAGAGACAACAGAGAAGAATGTCTTGAAACATTGGGACGATCTCCTGTTGTCTTTTTTCGACTTAAAAGTCTCTTAATTTTTTTGCACCAGTGTCCAGTGTTACATTATTATTAATTGTTCTCTCCTAATATTTTTAATATCCTCGCTTGCGCTGACCGAGCGATAGTTCGATAAGCTGTGGGAAACTGAGCAATGCGTCGTCTGCTTGCGTTTCTGGTGAGAGTAGAATATTCCTCCCAGTATTCAGAGCTGCTCGACACTGCTGTACACACCATTATTATTGTAGCTGTCTTTGGGTTACAGTACACTAAAGGGCACATTCACTTTCCAATCCAAGAGACACCCGAAATGCCTTTCTTGCAACGAGGCAATGTGGCGTGGGCTAAAGCCTCCCTGGCAACGCGAGTTAGGTCACAGTTCCTGCAGCTTCAATCCATTTTGCGGGAACCGAGGGGCATTGTACACCGACCAGTTTGGTTTGGCAGATAGTGCCACCTTGTGCGGAATTTTCGCAACCCTCTGACTACTTACAGTTATTGGACTCGAGCATCCGTGCGCAATGTCAGTGGCGTGGTCTGCCCAGAGCTGGCCCTATGCAGCCACCAGCCACACCGACAAGCAGTGAAGTTTCTCAACTTCGAGTTTCTTGTCAGTACCAACAACCATTGCTGCGGGAGTGCACGATGTCAGGAAGCGATCGACGCAGCTTTTTATTTTATGTTCCGGCCACCGACTATCAAGAACGGCCGCACCGATATAAACAATCTGCAACGGTGCATAAGCATTCTCTATCCACGTGACCAATCACCGCATTGGACTTTACTATGACGGTCTCCGTCTTGCAGGAGGACGTGGACGGAGGAGCGGGCGACGCCAAGCGGTCCCCACGGAGACGGCGGCCCCGCCGGGAGTGAAGCCAGGCGGGGGACGGGGTGGGGGAGGGACTGTTTTTCTACAAGCAGCAAGATACGTAGTGCGCGCTGCTGCCCGTGTTTTGCCTGTGTGCGTGGCTGAGAGGTGTGCTAAGTTATTGACCAATAAAGCTAGTTGTCTTTGTTTACACACTCCTCGGGAGACTCAGACCATGCCCACCAGCACCTCTTCAGCCTCCTCCTGCAGGTCCTCTGCCTTCTTCAGCAGGAGCAGCTGCAGGCAGAGGGAGAGGGTTAAGTTTGCGGACAGCCTCGCTGCCGTAAAACTTGGCCATTGACCACCAGCACAATGCAATTCTCGGCTTGCAGTTGAAACAATACCAATAGTTTACTCGTAAGAGAGCTTTGTTGGAGGAATAACGAGGCTCGGGAACCGAAAGATTTGTCGTAGAAGCTGGCACCGTCTCATCGTAACATCTGCGAGGATAATTGAAGTGTTTTCAGTATTTCGGCGTCGAAGTATGGCTAAAAGTACCTGGGCCGTTTGCACATTTTTATATCAAAAACTTCCAAACATTCCGTAGTAAAGTTTGCCTACCAAACTGAATTATTCTTCTGACCACCATGAGCAATGGAGGAAAACTATTACGGCATCCCCTCGTAGCCCAAGGACTGATCTTCCAACTACAATTCTAAGCCGAGCCACCTTGCTGGGGACTGAAAGCCTATGCCCTTCTGGTTCACACCCACCTTGGCAGCCGACACCACCTGCTGGGACACCCTGAAAGGTATGGGTGCCAGCAGGCGCATCAGGTCACGGGGCTCTGTGCAAGCCACGTCGCGCACGCTGCGCAGCCCCGCCTGGTGCATCTGACGTGCACGTCCCTGCATGCGATGGCACCAGACACTTTAGCAGGTGCAAGTCTCCCGGATTGCCTGTACAATACATGGGTAAAAACTATGGCAGCAAAAGTTTGCAGCGCAAGGGAGCGCCTGCCGAAATTTGAGACTCCAGCGAGACGGCCGGCACCGAGCAGAAAAACGCTTTACTGAACGGAGCAGGTTCTTACGCGATTTCTGCTTGTCCTTGTGGCTTCTGTGATTACAGTGAACTAATTCATTCAAACTCCAGGAAGCTACAAATTTTGTTTGAATCGTCGGAAATTCATCTAATTATGATGAGAGATAAATTTATTCATGATTTCCTCTACATAGGCCCACTGATCATAAGCAGATATGCCACACATGGAACATTTGTTAAATGTATGACAAGTTTATTTATCCCCAAAAATGTTGTTTATTGTGGACTGTTTAGACAGCTCATGACAAAATTAAGTTTGTTCATCAGAACAAGAAGTTGTGTAATGTGCTCAGAAGCGACTTATGAACACATTAAAAACCGCGGGACGAGCCAAATTTTGAAATTTGTTTGAATTAACCAGGCGTATGAAATATCAGAGTTTAAATTACCGCGAGCCTGCTTGCACGTTGTTGGTGCGATGGACCAATTATATCCCAGTGGCTTTGCACAGGTCCATCTGAATGCAACCTACGCACCACGTGAACTAGACATAGCGCGTTTATCATAGTTTATCATCACCGCAGTCCTTCCTTTGCTTCCCCAAAGGAGGTCGGGCACCTGGAGGCTGGAAGCTCAGTTACGGAAACATGTCGCCACTGGATTAAAACGTAGATAAAATCAGGGCAACCCATTTTGAGTCCCATGCTTTCTTGCTAAAACCCCAGCGTTTTGCACTGAGCTGGCACATGGCACGGCACAACCTGTTTTATATCCCTAAATTTGCTCGACCCTATAGGTGGTATTCACTGGCGGCCATAGTTGAGCTCGCTGCTGCTGCTGAGCACATACTGACGGCAAGCCACAACACTTCCAACACGCACATGGCAAACCATCAAGATTATATTTGGGATACCATAAATAAGAACTCGCCCTGAGCATGCACTGTGAGCAGTCGCCTCAAATATCACGTCCAGTGAATACCATCTATTGGCGGCGAGATGTTTTCGTGGTGCCCACCTATGGTTCTCTTTCATGACGTCATTACCTCGCAAACAACAAGTTCGATGATGTTTGTAATGAGCATGGTGGAAGCTTGAAATCATTGCGCTCTCAAAGCAACACTACCAACACCGTCAAAAGGGAAGTTCTTTCATTACTCATTTCCGTCGATGAGAAATCCTTTGCTGACGTCATAGCCAGTATTTGGAAAATCGTGGAAGGCCGATCACAGTGACACTTTCGATCGCTTAGGTCGCTAAAGTCGCGAATGCCTCGCTGCACCTTCCGACGGCGCGCCACCGCAGTCGTGTCTTTATCCCTTTGGCAGTTCTATGCAAGCGACAAAACCAGTAGCGGCGGAAAGTGCAGCTACTGGTTTTGGAAGAGGTAAGCGGACACCAGAGTCACCGGTGTCGCACGCCCCCTAGGACAACGCTTGAGTAGTGCAAATAAAGATGATTATTATTATCTCGTGTCCACTTTGGTTTCTGGGCGTTTGCCACGTCCACTTCCACTGCTGTATCATTGCCAGGATCATAACGGGCAATGGCGCAATGTTTTTAAGACGTCCTCGGGCGGACATAGAGAGACCACTTTTGAGGACTTGGTAAACGTACCAGGTGTGGTTTGCTAGCAAATGCCGGCGTCTCCCACGGTGGCAAAAATACCCGCAAGAGGGATTCGTTTATCACAACCCGCTTCATAAAAACAAGTACTTGTTAAAAAAAAAAGATCTAGTCAATTATTTTTTGCTATGTTGTCACTTCTTGTGCTTCAGAAAAAGCACCGGGGAAGCTGCGCCGGCCTTAACTGTCGTAAGTCTGTCCTCGCTTCGATCATTCGAGTCTGCTTTTTGTGCAGAAAGAGGGTGAAGAGGCTCGCAATGTGAGCATAATTAACAGCATATAGAGTTACCTCTAGGAAAGACTGTGTTACGTGGAAATTAAAACCAAGGGCAAGGCTCGTGTCTGCTGAGTGGAAACGGCCGGAAACGCTAGGTACTTCCTGCCCTCCGAGCCGGTCACATGGCCCGTAAACCCCTCTTGTGGCTATTTCATTTGCTGGGAGAGACTGCCAGATTTGCTGGCCAGCTGTCCCTGATGGACACGCTCCAGGCAGTGCGCATCGTGGTGACGAGAGTAGGGAGGACGTTCCAGTCTTGGCTGGCGGTGCCTCACCTTGCGCACGCAGGGCAGCTCTAGCAGAGGCAGCAGCTCCGTACTGGCACAATGCGAGAGCCGCTCGGCAAAGTCCGGCAGCAGTGCCCGGTACGCCCACAGCTCGGGCAGCTCCTGAGGGGGGGGGTACGCCCGGCGCTCCACACCGAGAAGGGACACAGACAAGGCACACAGCCACCGCCCAAACGCTGGCGTCGGCAATGCAAGGCCAGACTAAAGGCTGCTTCACACATTTGCGTTCGATGGCGACCGAGTATGTTTCGCTCCCGCGTAACCGCTTAACCTACACTGCCTTCATACACACCCGCTTGTGCTCAAGTGGTGACATCTCGGCCGTTTTTCCGCCAATAGTCTTTTTACACCTTATGAAGTGCGCAGTGCGACTCAGCTCGAGCACGTAGTTTTGGCTAGTGTTGAGTAAAGTATGTCTAAAAAGTACTTGAGGTAAAGTACAAGGTAAATTGGAGGTTACGTACTTGAAGTAAAGTAGAAAGTAACCGGGCGCAATGTACTTGAAGTCAAGTAGTACAAATACAGTGTACTTTCAAAGTAAAGTACAAGTACTTTTGAACACAATCTTTTATGGTGTCCTTTCGTTTTCTAATTGGTAATCTGTGATTATTAAAAATGGCGGCGAATACTGGATAAAGGCAGGTGGCCACGGAGTAGTTGTTCTACTCTTGCTGACTAACTATTTTAACACAATCAACTTATAAGGCAATTATTTGTGTCCGTCTTATAGCCACCATTACTTCATTCTGAGAAATGACCAGATAAGTGATGCTCTGGTTTCTGGTGAGAGTAGAATATTTCTCCCACTATCTCTTCAAAGTTGACAATACATCTTTTTGTGACACAAATTTAACAGGATCAAATTTGGGGAATGTTGAAGTCGGAAGTCTCATTTTCCTCGGAAAGTACCACAAAAATATTTCAAGTAAAGTACAAGTGCATACTCGGAGAATGTTTTCTCAACCTACAAGCACAATGTACTTAAGAGGGCGCGGTACCTCTATTTATTCATCCCTTTCAGCCACCAGATGGCGCGCGGCTCGAAACGTGGTTGAACGCGCAACTTCTAGATGGCGCCAGTATCGAGGTGTGAAAAGGCCCGCGTTATCCGCTGCGTGAAATAGATCCCGAAATGTGCCGTGTTCTCCCGGCGGAGGAAGTTTATCCCTCCCTCGCGCGCGCTTGGTATGTACGCGCGGTGGCAGAGTCCGGCCTCTGCGCTGTGTGATGCAGTGGGTGTCGCTCGTTTCTGTTCGGAGGTAGCAATAAAAATGCCGGTCCCCTTTTTTACGACGCTCGTTTCTATAGCTTGTTTTTCTTTTTTTTCTATCTCAAGTGACCTACAGTACCGCCTGTTCGAAATCGTCCTTTGCGGTGAGCGATTGAGAGTCACGTTAGCATTTTATTTGGGTCAGCACTACACGTTCAATGGAGACCTCGGGCGGCGATGTAAATATGCATTGCTCCCCAAAGTGTGTCCAAGGTGCGCAATGACAATTGGAAAGGGTATTGAAGGCGCGCGACCGTCGGTTGGTAAAATACGTGCGTTAGATTCACTTATTCAGTCTAATCATTTTTCCCAACGTCTTTTATCTGTTTCGACAAATGACATGGTCGAGTCTATTGATAACCTTAGCTAGATTGGACGTACGGAGTGTCTGGGTTTTAAATAAATTTGCTTCGTTTATGTGAATGAATAACTGTTTTCTCTTTTCCGTGCTCGGTGCTATGCAAAAATCGCTGAGATGTTATGGTAGCTCAGTGTAGCGGCGTTTTGCACGCTGACTCGCTATTGCATTCGCTGTGCACAATATGTGTTCAGATGGAATGTGCCAAATCGTATTTCCGATCGATATGATAGATTTACTTTGCTACAGTGTTAATTATATTTTCCCGATTTAAACTGGTTCGTCCCTGATCTGAGCCTAAGTTCAAATTCGAAGGGCAGACAGACTTAGCGTCGTAACAGCCGTAATGCGCAGAAAGAAATTAGTACCATGAAAGAAAAACAAAAGGATACGAGGTGGCTCAGTGTTATAGAAGTAATGAGTGTGCAAAGGATGCCATCGTACGTGTTTCTTTTTTTTTTTTTTTAACTCTCCGCATTGCTGGGAAACGCTCAAGGTACCAGCAAAGACAGCGAGCTGGGGTGAAATTTCCATCGAGCGGAAAACGAGTGTCATTTTTATTTCATCATGCGCTTTCATTTTGATATGGCTCAATATGGGCGCGAAATAGTAACAGGTAAGGCAACAAAATTTAGATGTTAGGTCTGGAGCATTGCCATACTCAGCCGTGTTGGGGGCATCTCTCGCGAGTCAATACGGCAAAGGTATTGCGCGTCGAACTGTACGTGAGAGTTATCCATTTCAGCGAAACCTTGATTTCGCAAAACTATTGTGGCTTCCAGTACTTGGAAGCCACGAGCGAGAAATAAATGACAGTTGATTTTGAAGGACAATCGCGACGTGGAAACCCATGAAAGAGAGTCCCGATAAGACGAGAGCTTCCCCTTCTCTTCAAGTGCGTGGGTTACGCTCTCAATCCTGCACCTGTGGTAACACTGCAGGCTCCTAAAATTGCTTTGAAAACGTTCCTGATCGCAACAACTTTTTTGTTTTTTCTTATCGAGGCGCTATTTCATTTTTTTTTCTTTTTGTCTACCTTGATACCCCATCAGCGCAAAAACTACCATAAACTAAAAAAAAAAAAAAAAAAAAAATAGTGGGCATACAACGACAACGCACCCACTGGGACCCGAGTCAAGGCAAGAACAACTAACTACTAAAAGGGGAAAAAAATCATGTTCGCATACACAGACAGAACGCCTCCACCGAAAGAAATGAATCATGCGCTTGTTCTGCCAGTCTCGTTGTGCGTCTGTCAAAAGCCACAAGGGAGGAACACAATCAGCGCCTACACCACTCCCTTCCCTCCCTCCCCCCCCCCCCCCCCCCCCCCCAACCCTAAAAAGAAGAAAAGAAAGGTTTCTTGGGCGCGCGCGCGGCTCGCCCAAGCGATGACCTTGGAAGGGTATGCGATTGTAGCACGTTTGTCCCCCGGTTGTGCCCCTGTCTCAAATGCCACGGTCCGTTTCTCCCAAGTGCCCGTCTTATCTTCCCGAGTATCAATTCCGCAGTGATTCTGAATCATTCCGATGCTTTCCAACGTTGCAAAACTGTTAGACGAATATTTGCACAGAAGTATACACTTGAAACTAAACATTTGAGAGAAATCTCTCTGGTTGGGGAATACAATAATTAAAATATGGCAACCAACCAATTCCTAAACATGTAGGGGCCCCTACGTTTCGAACCGACTCGGTTCTTCATCAGGGGCGACTGTGGCCGTTGAGGAGCGACGTTTTTCTATCTTCTTTTTCTTTTCTCAGGGATGTGGCGCATTTCTCGATCTTCTTCTTTCATGAATATGGCGAAGCCCGTTCACATACACTGTTGGTAAAGCACCAAGGCACCTATTTATGTTGCCTGGCGTCGTTTGAATATGCCAGGACTCGACGAAAAGCCTATGTCGGTTGTTAGTCTCTGCGTCGATAATGCTGGTGTTGTCGAAGTCAATCCGGTGGTCTTTGACTTCGCAGTGCTCGGCGACTGCGCTGCGCTCGTGGTCGAGCTTGCGAACGTCGTTTTTGTGTTGGCGTATTCTTTCATTAAAATTCTTTGTCTCGCCGATGTAAGTGGCTGGACAATCTACACAAGGGATCTTATAAACCACGCCCTGCGTTTTTTCTTTCGGAGGGCGATCTTTTGGACGGGGCATGAGTAATCCAAGCGTGGACATCGGCTTGTGGGCTACGCGGATTCCTTCTTTGGCTAGCACGCGTGCAAGCGCCTCGCTTGTTCCTCTGATGTAGGGTACGCAGATGCGCGAGGTTGGGCGTGGCTGCGTACAGGCTTGTGGTTGCTGTTGTCTTTGACCTCGAGCTTGACGACGGGCAACGCGTTGGATGAAGGTGCTCGTGTATCCGTTCTTTTTCAGATCAGCACGGACGGTTTTTTCTTCCTTTCTTCTGTCATCCTCAGAGGAGCATATAGCCTTCGTCCTAGACAGCAGTGTCCTAACCACCGATGCTTTGTGGCAGGCTGGGTGATAGGAATCAAACTGGAGATAACGTCCAGTGTGCGTGGGCTTCCTGTAGACTGAAAACTTCAAATTTTCTTTTTCTCTTCTCACGAGCACGTCCAAAAAAGGCAATGAATTGTCTTTTTCAAGTTCCGCTGTAAATTGGATAGCCGGTTCGATGGAGTAGAGGTGTGAGAGGAATCTGTCCACTTCAGATCTTTGAAGGATGCAGAAGCAGTCGTCCATATACCGCACAAATATTTTGGGCGCAGTGGCGAATGACTGCAGGGCCTCTTCCTCAATGGCTTCCATGCACAGGTTAGCCGTGGTAACGGAGACAGATGCGCCCATGGCGGTTCCGCTGGCTTGTTTAAAATACTCTCCCTTGACGCTAAAGTAGGTGTTGCTGAGGCAGAACTCAAGGAGGCGACACAGTTCCTCCACACTAAGGGCGGTCCTGTTGTGCAGGTCTTTGTCTTTTTCGAGAGCCTTCCTGGCAGCTGTAACTGCCAGGGGAACCGGCACACTTGTGAAAAGTGAGATGACGTCAAAAGAGACTAGGCTTTCCTCAGCGCTCACCTTCAATTTCGAGATGCGCTCCACGAAGTCGCTGGAGTTGCTGATATAAGTCGTCGTTTTTCCGACAAGAGGAGAGAGGGTGTGGTGAAGATAGTTCGACACGGCTCGAAGTGGTGAGGTTCTAAAGTCCACAATGGGCCGGAGAGCAAGGCTAGGCTTGTGGATCTTGGGAAGGCCGTAAAAACCAGGCGCAGATCCATTCCTACAAAGGAGGTGCAGGTGGAGGCTCCTCGAGTCTGGATGTTTCTTGAAAATTTCAGTTAGGATCTTGCTCAGCGTTGCCTGGATTCGCGGTGTCGGATCCTTTTTTAGTCTTTCATAAGCAGAGGTGTCAAGCAGGTCGTGTATCTTCCGGTCGTAGACATCCCGGTCGAGGACAACGGTCGAATTGCCCTTATCTGCTGGAAGAAGCACAATCTTTTCATCATCGTGAAGCGCCC